AACAAATACCCACTCTCTGCTACTACCACACCAATTTTTTATCTCAATATCTGTAAAACTGACCAAGTTTTTGACATTTTTGTGATTGCTAAAGCTAATTAGCTGTGGCGGCCATCTTGAGACTGTTAGTTGATCAACATCAGATTTAAAATTATTTTTAAAGTTTTCACAATAGTTCATGAGCTGTTTGGCAACATAAACACGTTTAAAAACACGACAACAACAATATTAAATTAATTTGATTATGGTTTTACTTATTATGCAACAAAGTGATCCAGCGACAGCGCCCCTAGCGGTCACATCTGTCACTGCGCCATTTAAAAAAAACTTTTAATTAAAAATCCACTTTATATCTTTGATCCTGCAGAAACAGTTTCAGAAACTAATCCTGGAGGTAAAACTAAAGAAGATGTGAGTTAAAGAGGTAAAAAAAAAAAAAAGAGTGTGTGGTAAATTAAATGAGAGGTCATAGAGCCTCTTTTGTTTTAAGATGTGGATGCAGTAGTTTTCCATAAAGCTGCGGACACGATGACAGCTTGAATCCGCTTTATTACAACACAAAACTGGATTTATTTTAAAACTAGGAGCCACAAAGTGACCACCTCCATCACAGAGTCGATTAAACCGAACAACTTGTTACTCACCGCCGATCCATCCCGCCACGAAGTCATCCAGCCGAAAACTTTTGGAGCTCTGCATCTTCTCACCGACACGGCTTCAAGCTTCTGCCCGCCGCCCCTCACCGGTCAGCCGGTAAGAACTCCGCCTAAACCCTGCCCCCGCAGAGTCCGGAGAAATGAGAGAACATCGGTTTCTGTCGATAACGACCCCTCTGAGGGAAAAAATGAACATTTTTCCACACTGTCAGAACTGATAAGAAGAAGAAGACAGCTCGCCTGAGCTCGACGCCTCGCGACCAATCAGAGCGAAGCGTGCGTCTGAGGGACAGCCCGCTCGACCAATCAGGCGCCAGCTTTCTGAGCCGAGCAGCCAATGGGGTGGCCGGCATGGAAATGAGCCATGAGGAGAAAACACGGAGAAGCGCTGAAGCCAGGCTGAAATAAGACCCCCGGGGAGCCAGAGACGGACCCCTTCCTGCGCCTCTCGACCCGGGAAGACCCCGCGGATCTCCTGGAGGTCAGCACCAGACTGAAGCTCACAGATACACGAGAACAAACATGGACTTCCGGTAAAAATAAGATGAAAATAGATTTTCTTATCTGGACTCTGCTTATCTGAGGTGGATTCC